TTTCTGATATTCTTTTGTAATCCAATATGAGAATATCATATTCTACAATTATATTCTACATATTATCTATACATATGCTTTTTATGCTCTGCACTTCTACCGATTCATGATTTATAAATTATCTAACTCTGTTATGGGCTTTACATTTTCAACAATTTAAAACGTTATTTTATGACAAGAACCATGCTTTAAATATTATCTATATCTAATCTTAACTTCTGCTTATATCTAGATCTACATTCAAGACATTCTTGTAAATTCTACACTACGACCAATTTGTGACATTCTTTTGTAATCCAATATGAGAATATCATATTCTACAATTATATTCTACATATTACCTATGCGTTATTTATGCTCTACACTTCTAACAATTCATAATTTTTTGCTACATCAAGTGCCATAATCTTCCTGTTATTCATATCGATTGTATGTTCTACACTTCTACTAAAGCATATTATTTTTTTACAAAGCTATATTTCGACTGAAATGACTATACGGTAATAAAGTTTATCTTAATTACAAATACATAGTATGCGTCACGATAGTAATTCGCTAGTCAGCAAATCACTGAAAAGAATCAAATCATAAAATTCTCCGATATATATTTGATTGCAATCTCAGAATCGCATTACACTGTTGAATATCCTGTTCAGCCAAATGAGAAAACTGTTGTATTTAAGAAAGTAACAAACGTAACATACTTCTTATCCCCTTCGCCATCTTAAATAACCAAGTTAAGGATTAGTGGTGATAGAAAGTATCTTCAATTTCAATTATTTGAACAGACCAAAAAACAAATCAAGAACTATTTTTAAGAACCATTCAAAATGGAGAAGAGGGAGAAAAACGTGCACCTTAACAGGTCTGTTTTCTTTACAGGAATCGAGAAAGAATTCTACAATAATATTTGTAAAGAAGATCTCATCAGTTGATAGGACATCTTTTATGTTTATTACTTGGGACAAAGGATTGATACTTCAGATAAGACATCCAATTCAGTTTTTGTTGGCAAAAAAATGATTTGTTCAGGTCTCAAATTATACCAAATCGATATTATTTGTCATAATCGATATTAATTTGAATTCAGATTCAGACTGTACAAGTTCTCTCGATAGTAATAATCTTTTTAACAAAAAGTTTATAAACATATAAATTTAGTAGTAAAATGCGCACGAAAAGCTAAAATTAAAAAAAAATATTAATTGTTTTAATCAGTGAAGGAATTGATTTTTAATCTCATTTATTCAATCTTTATCAAATCTTTCTTACTAATTTTATTACCTTATTCAATTAAAAATTATTTGTCAATTTTTTTGATCGAGTCTCGTGTCTTTTGCACTTAGTTTCAAAGTTTGAACTTTGTTTCAAATAAGCAAGTAAAACAAATTTTTATTAAAATTTAAATTTTTGTTTAGTTTATAACTTATTATTCGAAAACACATTGCATAAAAACAAGTTTGTTATATTATTTTTACCACTAAAGCAAATTGGATAAATAAATAAATATTTCTTTTCTTGTAATTGAAATTTTTCAGCCAGATCCAACTAACTAAAAAGATTTTTCTTGTAAGTGACTTTTCCACTAGATCAAACTAAAAACTAATATTTTTTTTCTTGAAGTTAAAAACTTTCTAGATTTAAATAGCACTTAGTATTTTCTAATATTTAGAGACATTTTAAAATTTTCAGGATATTTTTTCGAACTATATTATTAATGAGAAAACATTTGATTTGCTTCAGAAATCAATACAAATAGATTAGATTTTGATAAAATCTAAAATATTTTTATGATTACATGCATTTAAACTTGATTGCAGCAAATAATCATCTCATAAAATCCAGAAATTATTTTTCCAAATGAAAAAACCTGAATAGTTATTTTTCTATTTTTAAAAATTTATTAAGATATTATTGAAATTGAACGCCTCATCCGAACGTCAATAGCACGCTCTCAAAAAAGTTGATGTTTTTTCTTTTTTTAATTTTTGAAAAAATAAGGTTTTAACTATAATATAAAATACCGTGAACTGTAATGTGATGCAAATTTGTTGCGAACTAAATAATACGGCTGAACTTTTCATCAAATTAGGGTTGCAGCAAATTTAAACACTATTACGATTCAACACACTCAAAAACTTTTTAACGGTGTGCAGTCAAATATTTTTAAATGTAAACAATTTACTAAGGGAATTTTTTGCAACTGTAAAAAATAAAAATATTTCATGGTAATAAAAAATCTATACAACATATAATATTTGATTGGACGTATGCTTCTTTATTCTTTCAAATTCGATTGCCTTCATCCTTCTCAGACAAATGAACATCCACGAAGTTTATTTGTTAGGTAAAAAAAGTGCATTTTCTACCACAAGCACTAAATGACCCTATTATTGAATTTGCGACATCAGAAACTACAATTTCTAAAGGTCCCAACCAAAATTGGTAGATGGAGAAGAAAAAAAAAGGCAAGAAAGAAAAAGGAATTTCGATTCCCATTTTGCATTCTTCCTTATTATTATTACTTCACTTCTTATAAAGCTAAAAGGGGAGGTAATAAAACCCCCCTGGAGGCAAGAAAAGAGAAAAAATAATAAAACAGGAAAAGAAACTGCATCCGCGTAGTAAAAGGCAAGAATTTGACTTTTACTTCGTTTCCAAATGCGGTCTATTGTAGGAAAAAACCATTTTGGAAAAGACCGCGTAATGGATAGAATATTATCTTTATAAAAGCTTACTTATCCAAGACCCTGCAAGTGGTACGCGGGTCTTGGAAAATAGAATGTATCTACCCCCCTGTTTTTGTTCGAATTGGTTAAAGCTACTGGCGAAAATTTTGCTCCTACCGCATATTATTGTGAACTTTCTTTAGAATCCGAAAGAAATTTATTTTGTGATGTTTATTCTTTAAAAACCATCAAGCCAGAAACATAGAAGGTAGAAATGAAAGCTCAGATGATATTTTTTTTTTTTTGCAATCTTGGTGTATTTGTTCGAAGAATGGCACAGGAAATTTTTTTTATGCTCTCAGTAAAATGGCTCAAGACAATTTTAAATGCTCAGTCACAATTTTTTTTAGCGAAAGATGTAAATAAACAAAAATATAATGTCGAATATTTGATGTACTAAGAATGTTTTTTTTTAATATAAAATATACAAAGGCAAAAGTAAAAGAAACTGCTCAGTAAAAAATTTAGTAAGAAGAATTACGAAAAAGTACTGGCACCCTGAAGCCTTAAAATCCATTTTACATTAAGATCTATTTTTATCGTAGAATTTTATATCGTAATATCTTATTTGTTTAATTTCTTTCTTTTTTTAACATTGAGACGAATTTACTTTTTACAACATGAAGAATTAAATAAAAATAGATAACTGAAAATGAATAAAAAGAGAAACGCACATTAAACAAGCAAATGATTAAATGAAATGGAAAGGAGTAAAGGAATATAAAATAGAATAAGTTCGGGTTTTGCGTAATTTTTTAGGTGAATTTCATTAAAGAGGAAGAAGAAAATGAAACTTAATTCAAACTCGAAGCCTTAAGCCTCCATTACCAATTATAATTTCACTTTATGTTCTTATCTTTAACGTAGAATGAGATTAATCGATAGAGGTTAATTTTATAAAATTAACCTCTATCGATTAATCTTATTTAAAATAAGCTCCTCCGTTTTTATTTATAAANAATTAACCTCTATCGATTAATCTTATTTAAAATATTATTATATATTTTATCCCAGTGTTAGTTTGATTCTAGAAGCGAATTATTTGAAGGAAAAAAAAACGTTCAGTTTCAATATTCCTAACGGTTCTGATTTCATAAAAATCTTTTAAAATAAAAAGCGTAACCTAATTGTTTTTCTACTTCTTTGCCATTTTTAAAATAGTTTTTTTAAAGAACCCAAAACCAGTTTTTTTAAAGAATACAAATGTTTAAGAAATTAAAAGCATATCTTATTTTTTTATGATAACTGATATTTGCAGTACTGTTCTGCACATTTTATAGTATGGATACATATAAATAAAATTAAGGTTGAATATATATATATGACTTGCTTAAGACAAAACTCACCTTAATATTCGAAAGATAATTTTAGAAATGTTCAAAAATATAAGTTTTTCGTTATACAGATGACTGAACTGTTTTTATATTTTTATACATACATTACATATTATGAGCAATAAAAATAAAGATATGCATCAGTTGTTAAAGTTATAAAAGCTAGTTAGTTTGTTCAATGTTTGCATGTAAGTTGTTTTACGAGAAAATGTATATGGTTATAAGCAATAACTTTTAAGCAAACATTAAATAGCAAAGATATAAAAAGCAGGAATACTTGAAAAGCAAAAGCAGAAATCTTTAAAATAATGTTCATTTTGCCCTTTTCAATCAAAAACTCAATGCTGGAAACTGAAACCATTTTTTAAAACATTAATCATTACGATGTCGTCGAACATTATTTGACGGCGAACCAAAAAATCGAATTAAATTTGAAGCAATTAACTTAATTTGAACCTTAGTACCGTGTCAGACAACTTTAATTATTGTCTGGTTTGTAAATACAAACTTAGTCTGCAAATATGGTTAAATTTACTTTTTTTCCAAATCATGCTACCATGCTAAATTGCTAATGATCAAACAAGCGTAATTGTTATGGTATTGTTTGTAAATACAAACTTGGTACGCAAATAGGGATAAAAACCATTGCTCATGGAACCATTACACTTGAATTATGTAGTGGTTTACTGGTACTATATTTTTTTTAAAATTGTGTACCATTTTTTTGGAAATGTATGAACATTAAATCAAATATTTCTGCTAATATAATATTAGATAGCAATTTGTAAATAAGCAAAAGGGATTGGGCAAGGGTAGAGATAGGAAAGGGCAGTGGAGATAAGTCGTGTGAGTAGATAGAGTGAGCCGTTGTTGAAGTTAGTGCCAAGCAGAAATATCCCATTGTTAGTAGTGTAGGGCGTAAAGAAATCTGTCTTACCGGCACTCGATCGCCCTTTACTCCTTGGTTTACCACTGGAGGAGCTGCTGGAACTTTGCATAGAAGATGTCTTTCCCGTAGAAGAGCCCAGAAATGAGCTATGGAACGGATAAGCCGTTCCGGAATAGTCCGCAGATCCACCCGATGGGGGTGGACCAGCAACGTAAGGGGAATAGGTGGGCATATGATGGTGGTGATGGTGATGGGAAGGCTGGTGGTGATGTACGGGATTAAGAGTTGAAGAAAAAGCTGTACTACCTTCTCTGGGCTTGCCACCGCTGCTGGAAGAACCGCAGTTGCTGAGGGCCGAACCCAGGGAAGTGATCATGTTGGGCGTGTGGTGACCCTTTATGTCCTCTCCACTGCTGGACACTACAAGTCCTGACGCTGAACCGCCATAATCGCCACTACTAACCCCACCGTTAGTGGGGTGTGTTGTCACAGTGTCCGGCGTCGCGTCTTTGGGGGGTGTAGGTGGAAAGCTGAAGAGATGAGGACTAGAATGTGGAGGTAAGGAACCAGAGTGGGGTGGAGCGTGGACTCCGAGAGGACCTCCCGAAGACCCGCTCGGGTGGTGAGGTGGTTTGCCGGAAAAAGGCGAGCACCAGGCTGATCCATGTGCTGGATGTGGCACCATGGGCTTGCCTCCTTCTGAGATCCACGGATGAAGAGGAGAATGGAAGTGCGGCCTGCACATTTGACTGCTAGGCATTCGGGCTGTGAAAATGAAAAGAAAACAACATGGATCAACAACATAGTTTTACGTTGAACAACAATATATTTTAAATTCAGTGAAAATTTAAAAAAAAGTGACATAAATATAAACCTCGAATTCTGTTAAAAATATCTTTCTTGCAGTATATGATTCAAATTAAGCCTTAAAATTAGTTGACTTGAGATCAAAGGTTATTAAGGTTTAGGCTTAAGGGTTTTATTTATTTAGTTACATTAACTGCATGCTTATAATTAAGAAGAATAAAAACTTTCAGATGATGAGTCAAAGATAAGAGCCAACGTCAATTTTCACAAATGCAGTAGTTACGGTAATTGAAACAGTCAATAATTTTCGATGCTACATTGGAAAGTCATCTTCAATTCCCTGTACAATGAAATACAAAAAATGATGGAGATAAGCATTACAAATTAGCAGATAGACATAAAGAATCTGCTCGTGTGATACGTTTATCCCCGCTATTTTTTCTGTATTTTTTGTGTACTAAAAATGATTTCTAAATGCAGCATCAAAAATTGTATACTATTTTCGAAACCACATCTGACTTTTAAAAATTTTGCTCACCATCAACTGCAAAAGGAAAGTAAATAATTGAAAGAATAATCAATTTTCAAACAGGTCTCTTCCTTTCGAATTCAATTATTCAAGTGTTATTTTGTTACAAAAGTACCGAAAGTTCTGGCACTCTGTTCGTCTCTGACCAAAAACAATGTATAAATTCTCCAAATTTTCTATGTTTAAAATAATTTTGTCACTAAAAAAAAACGTAATCCAGTAAATTGTTGATTATATTTCCGCACACAGTGTTATAGTAAACCAACTTAAGTGAGAACTTCACCTCCATTTTTTTTATTTAATACTTATTATTTTTGTATTTATTTAATATCTATACTAAAAAATTTTTGAATTCGCATAAAGTTTCAAAACAATCTGAATAAACAAGAAAGATAAAACTAAACAGAATCAGTCAAGCGTTGGCAAAACAATAATGCAGAAAATTTCTATCTTAAAACTACAAATGCAGTGATACAGACATAGCATAAAGGAAAACTATATTACCACATTTTAACTAGTAATCAAGAAATAAAAACTTATGAAGTATAGCTAAATAGAAACTTCACAAAGTACATTTATTTATACTCAATTGTATTTCACGAGGCATTAAGATAACGCAATCATCCTTTCTCTGGAAACTCAAACCAACGAAGAAACCTTGAAACTAAATGCATAAATAGAAGAAAAAATTACGTATAATTTTCCTAAATGTGTGTTTAATGCCTATGTACTAAAATTAAAGTCGGTAATATGTATATAAAGAAAAAAATCCATTTCTACCTTGTGTCAAATGGTAACATTGTTTTACACATCATTAATTTACTCTTTATGTGTAATTTTCTACAACAAGAGTTGATCATTGTTGCATTGAATATTACTTTTATCAATATTGGAGGATACATTATATAGCACTAGTCTCTTAAGTTTTTATGACACTACATTGCAAGCAAATGTCTCCTATGAGTTAAGCACCGTACCCGAGCCTATTAAAGGGTTAACACAAGTGTTTGCGTGACTCGGATTTGTGTTCCATAAACACGTTTCATCAATATCCGAAAATGATACCTTTTAGACAAAATCTCGAAAATTTGAGAAGGAGTACTATTTACTCTCCATTTTTCCGACCAGTTGATTCATTATCCTCTGAAATAATAGAATGAAGAAAGCTGTAAAAGTAAACGAAGAATGAAATTATAGGCTGATTATGGTGGTTGGGGGTTCTCAAGAAACTATTTCTTCATAACGATGTTAACGAGTGAATGCTGGTTATCAACTAGAAGCTCTTTAGTGATTGTTAAGTGCAGGGTATTATAATGCTGCTACTCACTTTATAACTTTCTTATGTACCGGAATTTTAAATGAAAAATGTAACAAACCATGAAATACTTTAAATATTTATGTCTTTTCTTAAGGATTTATTTTATTTCGAAGTAAAATTTAGTGATATTTCAAAATTAAATAAACTTTAGCGATATTGTAAAAAAATAAATTACTACAATATTACAAAACTTATGTACATTATTGTGATTTTAACGGTTAGTGTTTTCCTACAAATTGCAAGCATTTCGATAGTTAGACATCACACTTTGTTTATAAAAAATAAACGAATAGTGTTATTTTCAAATGAAAAACTATTTTTATCAGCAACCTTTTATTTATGAAAAGTTTCCGAAATTTGTAAATTTCTCATAATGATTTGTAAACTTGACTAAGATTATTTGTACCAAAAAAGTTGATTCGTCAGCTTTTATTAACAATTAGAAACAGAGTTTGTTTAAACATATTTTTTCCTTATTTTGCATTAATTTATGTCAAAACATGTGAAAAATATTATATTTAGCATTTTAACAATTTATGGTTATGAAATAAAGCATGAAATACCGTTGTCTTTTCTGCGTTAAAGGTAAAATCTCAAAAACACAGCTCATTTCAGAACAATATTTTTTTAAATGTGCCCTTATTTGTAGGATCTAAGAGAAACAGTTATTCATCATTGAAATTTCTTTAATTTACAAAATCATTAATTGACACATTTTCGAATAGGAATGGAAAAAATAAATTTTAAACTACTTTTTTAGGATTTTACATTTTAGTACAAATGCAATTTCGATAATCTAACAGTTGTTTTTTAGTAACTATTAGACTGTTTTTTATAATTAACAAATACTAAAATATATTTTTGCTGGTAATTAAAGCGTCGGAAAAAAATATATACAAATGACATCAGTGTCCCATCTGCATCAAAGGGTTAAGAAATATTAAGAAACAACGTTTAAAACTGATAAAAATTATTCAAAATTTTTGAACAAACGATGATATAGAATTTAGCTTCTTTTTACGAAAAGAAATTCATTTTCCTATTGTTGTTTTTATACAATATAATCTCGATTTCTCGAATTTTGATGTTTCGAAAACCATGTTATGTCAAAAAAATATTTTCCTCTTGGCGTTACATATCCACCTAATGTTAATTTGAATTCCCATGTTGAAGGCTATCTTCTCAAAACCTTGCTATGTTGAATTTTTTCGAAATAAAAAATGAACTTTTCCGGAAAAATCACTTATTAAGATCACTGTAAACCAATTTTCTATTTAATGTATAATTATTTTTATCACACTTTTAAAAATAAAATTATCATTGTTGTATTTGGATTTATAGTCAACTATCATTACATACATATTGAAGAGTAGTTATTTTAATGTTTCGTGACTTTACTTTTTAGAGTAATATCTTAGAATATATTTTTTCACTTTTTGGAAAATATTTAGTTCTGAACTTGTTATCTCGAAAACTCACTATCTCGAAATTTTTTCAGCATCCCTTCAACTTTGAGACATCGAGAGTGTACTCTACTTCAATTTTTGATGCTTTTATATGAAGATATTTACATATATATGTAGATTTCATGTATAAAAAAGGTCACATGGTTTGTAATTTGTGTAAAATTTGAAAAATAACATCTGTGCAATAACCTGTGATTTCGTTGAAATTAATATTTTTAATTATTATAGTTAGAATTCGAAAGACAATTATATAATGGTAACGGCTCAGTGCAAAATTTAAAAAATAATAATTTCATCATGGCAATGGAATGTAATTGGTGCAAAATTTGAAAGCGTATTTCTTGAAGCGAGTATTAATAAAAAGGTGTTCGTATACTCCAATATTTTGCAGCTAGATTGGTCACAAACGAAGTTGGAAGAGAAAAAGTTAAATGCGGATAAATTAAATGATATACTTGAAAGCAAGTGAATGTCGAATGCAGATTTCGACGCTTCCGCTCCACTGAAACATTTATCCACAACGATGTTTATTCAGCGGCTGCGGATGCCATTTTAACGTGTGGGAAAGGAAAATACTGAAGTCGTTTATAGATGCTTCCTTTTGTTTTAATTTCTCTGCTGCTGCTCTTACACCATTTGAAATTCCGATTCGGAAATTACTCCTCCTCCTCCCTACTCACTTTCTTACATTTACATTGATTTTCATTTGAACAATTATTCGGCAGTCTTCACGGTCATAATAAAAATTGAAAATTTTAGATGATTTAGTTTTTTAATAATTCAGAGAATAAATAATAAAATATTTTTGCAAGAAAAAAAAATAACAACTGCTTTTAAAGTAGCTGTTTTCTTATTTTTAGCGGTCTCTAATTTATATTTAGCAAAGAATAAAATCTATAAAAATAACAATGGAAATATTTTAAAAATAGAATACTTTTAAATTTGTTTAATAATAACTCACAATTCGTATTGAGCACATAAGATTAAATTATCAATATTCGTAGGTTTCATTAATGTATTTTTTTCTTAATTAACATTAAATTTATTAGGGGAACTGGAAAGTAATGTCGCTTCGGTGCATTTGATAATTGTTATCAAGATTTTATTTTTAATTAATAATGTATTCACCCTCGTTAGCAACAACCTTTCAATGTTGGATTGAAAATGAATAGAAATGGACTGAAAAAAAATTGGTTTTTACTGCGCCAAAACGACATTACTTTCCGGTCCCCCTAATAATTTAATTTTCAAGTATTTCATTGCAAACTGCATCCAATAAAAGTAAAATAAACCACTTTTGTGTATCAATGACTACAGATCATAGTTAATATAAGATTCGCTAACAACAATAGAAAAGTCTTGACATTTAAACTGTTATATAATTTTAAAAAATGATAAATTTGAAGAAAACTTTCAAAAGTATGAAATATTGTAGCTAATTTTATAGCATCAAGTCTAAAGAAGAATTAGATATAGTGCTATAAATCGATAAAAGAAATCGATTAGGTGAGATTGAATCTTCATTCAAACATAGAATAAAAAGGAATATGAATAAATGAGTTTTCTGTCGTAACCGGGAAGAGAGAGCTGCTAGAGAAACGAGCGTATTAACCTCTCTACCTTTTCATCACAAAGTCCAACGGTT